GTTTTTTTTTTTTTTTGCATTTTTATGGACCGAGACGAGGTCAAGGTCCATAAAAATGCGGAAAAAAGAACGAGGCTAATATCCAGCCATCTTGACATAACAAGCTTGGTTAATAAGGAATTTACCATATTGCAAAAAGACTTCGCTTTACTAAGAAGTAAGAATGACTTGTTTACTTGAGAGCCGGGAAAGAAAGCCAGCTGTGTTTTTAGCACAACAAACTCACAAGAGTCGTTTCTGACTTCTTCGTTTTGATTGTCTTCTGCCGCTTTTTGCGTTTCTATCGCCGAAATTGTCCAAGAATTACGAACGTTGTTCTAAATCTATTTTTTTCATGCGCGGGATCGATGCGGGCAATCCCGAGCGAGCAAGATGGACCCATCTTGCCCGGTGGGGTAGCCAATCAGAACAAAGGATTCGCTTCATCTTGCCCACAAGCACTGCGAGCGATGTTATAAACAGCTTTATTGAATCCCACCTCCCCTTATATAGAGTGCGTGACAGTCTATAAAATCACTTTCTAATTTTAAATCGGCATGCTTAGAATGCAGGCAGGCCCTCTTTATAAGCTGCTCGTTACGAGTGTTTCTAGGTCTGTGAGGATAATGCATGACTAAGCGTTCCACTCAAGCAAGATAAACAACGTAACATTCTGAATGTACTAGAACATTTTAATGTAATTTCGTGATTTATATCATTGTCGTTATGTCCTTATGTCGCACAGCGTGAACCAAGCATTCACTACAGTTACGCTGTTAATGCATAGAATACCTGATTTATGATTCCATGCTGTCAATTTTGCATTAGATTTGATGCAGTAGAGGAAGTGGAGCTGTTAGTTATGGACAAACCGATGGTAGTAATTGAAGAAGAGCATCTGGGTGACCGTTTTCCTGTAATGCTCCCGAGATGCACGGAGAGAAAGCCATCAATTAAACGTAGGGTAGTAACTAGAGACGAGCCTCTGCCTGACCCTCTGCCTGACCCTCTGCCTGACCCTCTGTCTTCAATGAACGAGAGAGAGCCACCACCTAATCGTAGTATCAGGAACGATTCCATATCTCGATGTTATCAGGATCAGGTCGATGGGAAAATTCCTAGTGGTTTTGGTAAGTATAATCACAGAAAGTCTTAAGGATTGGCGAGCTTCATGATAACCCGTCGTAATTCTTAATTGATCTACCCGTTAAAGAATTTTGTTGATACGTTCAGTTTAGTTTCTCTTGAATTAAATTGCCAAACTGAAGCTATCACCATGGTTGGGTTGGACCGATGAAGAGGATAATCAATAAAAAGAGAAAAAGGTTCGAGAAGTTTACCCGGTTTACGACTGACACACTTATATGGCTAAAGTTATAGGCATTTGCAGCATATTGCATTGTGGATCTCAACTGTACTTAGTCATTTGTGGTCACTGCACGCATTTTGGCTTCTTATCAGAGATGAGTTAGACTGAGGACAAGAAAAAAGCCCAACACACGTTTTGTCTTTGGTTGGAAAAAATCGAATCATGTAACATGGATTCCCCACTTGACTCGTTTTCTTTGCCAAGCGTATTCAACTAGCTTGATTAGATTCGTTGTTCGAGCGGATGCCGTCACCAGGAAGGTAATTTGCCATCTCGTCGTCAAGGAGTACCTATGCCTTCATCCTCTTTTTTATTCTCCATAGATGATAAGCTTCTTTCTGCAAGCAACAGCTGCACATAGTTATATAATAAACTCAATTGACAGTGCAGCTATGATAATTAGCAGTTGCCAATGATCTATAAGACCACGGGCGCGTGACTAGCATCAGATAAGCTTTTTCGCCTCCACCTCAGCAAGCATGAAGCAAAGTTTGATAACTGTTGCGTTAATTTTTGGACTGAGCTATTGGTATGCGTCTCTCCTCTGATAAATCATAAGAAAAGCCAACTGATCAAAATGTGTGTACGATTAAGCCCATGTCTACGTATAGATGAAAAATGGAGTCAAAATTTGGTTTAAAAAAATGAATATCAGCGACATCTGCACGCACCTTAACCTTATGTGCCGATTATTTTCGTTCTACCACTTTTGACGTCACTTGTTATCTACCATTGGAGAGATTTAGCACCACGTATACGCGAGACGTGAACTGCAAGAGTGACCACACGACCTTGTTTTTCCCGCCATTTTTTCACGTTTGCTGGCTGCGCTTTGCCGTTTCTAAGTGTGAAAGTTGTAGTGTTTGGATAGACAATAGAGACTATATAGGTGCAAACTCAACTAGTTTAATGGCGGCAAGTAACAAAGGTACAAAAGTAAACACTGCACGCTCAAGGAGAATCACGTGCTTAGCATTACGTCATAA